ATGACTGAAAGTGGAGCACTTAAAGTAAAACTAAACCCTCTTACCCTTTACAGACAAGGAAGCCATCTTGGCATCTCTTTGGTCTGAAGTTGCCATGGTGCTGTGATCGGTTATTACACAAGCCATATGATGGCTTGACAGAGCACAAGCAACTGTGACAGTAATCATTCATGGCATACCTTAAATGTAACTGTTTTTGTAAACACTTCAATCAGTGGCTTACGTTCTGCCTTTGGGTTTGTGATAAAACTTTGTAAATCAAGCCTATGGTTGGTAACACTTACATGGAGTTTGAAGGCGACTTGTTGTTAAGTTTAAAATATTCCTATGTGCATTTTTCTCTCTAATATTATTGTTTGTCAGTGAATAGAAAATTCAGTCTGGTCCTTCTCTGGGTTTAGTGTGTTTAGTGTACAAATTTGTGAATTTATGCAATAGATGTAAATTACTAAGTTAAAATGATTATTTACCTTACCAAATGTTACTTTCAGCAATAAAAGATATTATAGCGGAACTAAACTGTATCTCAAGACTAACCACAGGAAATGCTATTTGATTCATGTTTAATAATCAAAGCAAACTCACACATCCATCCATGCCTCAATACTTTTGTTTTGTTGGGAAAACACTTTGAAAAGCAACCCTAGCATTTCTAGCCAAGGTTATCTTGAATAAGAACAGATGATTCATGTAGAATTTACTTGCTGGAATCCATCTGCCCTTACCCCAGGCATATGCTTAGCTGAGAAAAAAACCTTCTACATCTCCCACCAGATGAAAGGAAAACAAATGCCCAGGAAGGCTTCTGGGTTGCAAGAAATCATTTTGGCGGAGGCAAGAAACCAGGAAGCAATGGAAGAAATGTAAAAAAAGGGTTAAAACAAGAAAATATGACATACATTCCTATCTATTGATTAATGCTAGCAGCATAAAGATTAAAAATAGTTAATGTTGACTGAGAGATTTTAGTTCTACTGAACGGCACATTTGCTGGTAATGGGAACATCTTGAAATTGTAATAGTGCAGTACCCTGGAAAACCTTTTTTCTGGGATTTGTACTGGAAAATAGCAGTTTCTGGTGTAGGGTCATGTCTAGGCATTCCTGTGCCTATGGTTGTATTGTATAACTTCAGTGTGAGACCTAAGGCACTCTACCTCTGATTGCCAGTCTCAGGAGATTTGGAAGGAGATTTGATGATGTAATTACTGTGCTAATCATTTTTCACCTTTCTGGAGCCTCTGACACAAGAAAGCAAAGCCCTGATTGCCTCCACACTAAGACACAGTGCAGAATAAGGCTTTCGAGTGTCAGCTGCTGGAAGAGCCCGATTCTAAAGTGGGCTGTGCCCCCTGGATTTTAGCTGGGACCCCTCCCAGATTTTAGCTGTCCCCCCCCCCCCCCCCAGGTCTCTGAGAGTGCATACACTGATTCATGAGCAAGCCTGATGCTGATGTAAGGAGGCACACTGATGGGGACAATCCATATAAGGGGGCACTTCGATGGGGACACCTAATGTAAGGGGGGCACTCCGATCGGGATAACTCATCATATGTAAGGGGACACTTCGATGGGGACACCTGATATAAGGGGGCACTCCTTGGGGACCATTGATGTAAAGGGGGACTCTGATGGGGACACCTGATGTAAGGGGGTGCTCTGATGGGGTTCCTGATGTAGGGGGGCACTCTGATTGTAACCCCGATGTAAAGGGGAAATCTGATGGTAACCCGATTTAAAGGGGGCTCTGATGTGGAGTCCTGATTTAAAGGCTGAATCTGATAGGGACATCTGATATGAGGGGGCACAGGTTCTGTTTAATCACCCAAATCTAATAACAGCTTAATACATACTAGGGTTTCCCAGGTCATGACACTGTGTGACATACTGTCAGGGACTCACACACAGTGTTGACATTATGCCCCCTTTTTTTTGCACCCAGGGGTGGACTGACCATTTGGAAACTTGGGCATTGCCCGAGGGCCCGGGGTCAGTAGGGGGCCCCATGAGATGCCCCTGGTACCTTTTTTCATAGGCTTTTTTGAGTTTGGGCAAGGACACAGGGGCCCCATGATCCCCTATTGCCCAGGGACCCCATGAGTTGTCAGTCCATCCCTGCTTGCACCTCCACATTAGGTAGGCTAGATCTGGCACTGGAGCACAGACAATAACGATGACTAGTTCTTTGCCCTCCAAATATCTATTTTTGGGCACGGCTTTCAGAGTTCAGTTCTTCTTTAATCGCTTTTACTGTTGATCCTTTTGCTTTGGCAACAATGTTACTGTTGAAGTTTACCATAAATCTTTCATAAGGTTAATTGTTTTTTAGGGATGAGCAAAACTGAGTATTTATGTAACCGAATTAGGAAATTTGTTAATTAAGAACTATGAAGGTATAATGGGTTAGCTGGGTGAGCTGATACACCTTACCCAGAGTTTAATCCAATTTACAAGCAGACAGACCAGCAATAAAATGTTTTAAAATTCAATAAAACAATGAATTACATTATTTAAAACTGCACAACAAATAACAGTTATGTACTGTATATGTATTTTTGGCATCAATTTTGTAATAGTTGTCCTCTAACTGGCACAGAAGGTTAAAAGGACACGTTTCCATAGAGTATCAGAGGAACCTGACCATTCATGGAGACTTTGTTCCAGACCAGTGTCCCTTTCCCTTTTTAACATTCCCCCTGCAATTTCCGCTGACGTCAGTGGCAGTGCTAGCATCTTGTTCGCCCCTTGGCATACAGTACATGGAATTGCAAAGACCTATACTAGAATGAGAAGTATTATGGTCCATTGTGAAGTAACAATCCAGTGTGAATCTCTTGTAAAATAAGAGAAGAGTAATTTAGCTGCTGTGTCGATATACTTTAACCTGTTTCCACTCTTCATACATACCAACCAGAAGTTTGCAGGATTCAATATTTTAAAAGCTATCATTGGAGCAGCTCATTTAAATGAATAGGATTACTATACACGAGCAGTATACAACTTTATTTTTTTTACTTAGAATACTATTAAACTGGAATAAAAAAGCTAAATAAGGAAGAATAATCTTAATATACTTTCAGTATAAGCTAGACAGTTTGTACATATATGTATGTAATAAAAAATAATAAATTTATTACATATTAAAAATATATGAAAAAATAGTGGAAGAATCACCATACAGCAACAGCAATATGCACTATAGATTATAGAAATCTGCACATTTATTTAACCACTTGTCCTCCGGAAGGTTTTACCCCCTGATCAGGGTTTTTTTTTTTTTTGCTATTCAGCACTGTGCTACTTTAACTGGCAATTGCTTGGTCATGCAACACTGTAACAATAGCTCCCACTGCTGTCGCTGGCAAAGATGAAGAAGAGACCCAGGAGGGCCACTGTGTTGTGCATTGCTGGATCAAGATGGGGCTCAGGTAAGAATTAGGGGGGCTGGGGGGGCTGCTGCAAACAGGTTTTTCACCTTCATGCAACCACTTTACAACCACTTTAAGGATTTTTTTTTTCATTGTGGGCTGTGTAATATTCTAAATGCTCTAAGGTTACCAGGTTATTATAGGCAAATATAAAAGACACAAATTAATGACGTTCTGTAGCCACTGTTACATTGTTCAGCGTGCTTCTTAAAAGGCCAGCAGTGTAAGTATCTGAATTTGATTTGGTATTGACATCTTGCAGTACAGTGTACAGTTCAGCTAAATATAAGTAGAAGAAGCAACACAGAAATTAGTTAAAATGTTGATAGAGCATGCTGATAGGAGGAGAAGGTAGGGTGCTGTTTTGCCTTCACTGTCCATTACAAGTTGTAGGTGGGTGCATGGCAAGTTGAGCTCACAGCATCATTCAAACTGGAAGGCTGAAGACATCTTGTGGCAGAAAAGAAGTATTGCAGTGCAGGGGACAGATACAGACAGGAGGTGAGTCTTGCAGCAAAAGCTGTTTTTTTAAAAATACATTTCATTGATGTATGCAAATTACATGGATACATAAAAGCCTTTTATAACATATCAAACCTATAGGCTGATCACCATTTATTAAATGATTTATCTTTAAAACTACTGTCCACTGAATAACATGCAGCTGTGTTTACATCAATTATTTAATCATGTACAAGACATGATTCTGTGTTTCTTTATCCTCTGCATGTGATTGGGGTATCAAAGTGAACAAGGCTTCACTTTGCTAGTTAACATTGTCAACTCCTTTATTACATCAATCCCATTGTGTGACTGTAATACTATGTGGCAAGCAAGGATCACATGAAATAATTTCAATCCAGAGGAAATGGAAAATTAGTGATAGGGAAGGATCTGAGCGTACTTGCAGACCTTAAACTTAGAAACAGCATAGATGGCAACATCTAGAGCCAAGAGAATGTTTTTGATCTAATCGTGGAAATGACTAATAAAAGAGGATTAAAATTTTGAAGCTCTATAAAGCATTAGTACAACCGGGTGACCATACACAAAGAGAATCAACTGGAAATAATATGGAGACATAGAAGATACCATCAGATGACCACAGAAAAAGATATTTAAGAAAAGTATAGGTGCTAGTTGATTTAACCGCTTGCCTACAGGGCACTTATACCCCCTGTCGCACTTTGAATGACAATTGTGCGGTCATGCAACATTGTACCAATATGAAATTTTTATCATTTTTTTGAGACAGATAGAGCTTTATTTTGGTGGTATTTAATTACCTCTAGGTTTTTTTTTTTGCTAAACAAACCAAAAACAACTGAAAATTTTGAAAAAAAAATGTTTTTCTTAGTTTCTGTAAATAAGTGATTTTTCTCCTTCACTGATGTGAGCTAATGAGGCTGCAGTGATGGGCACTGATAGGCGGAACTGATGAGGAGGCACTGGTAGGTGGCACTGATGGGCATTGACAGGCATCACTGGTGGGCACTGAAAGGCAGCACTCATATATGGCACTGATAGGTGGCATTTATAGGCGGCACTGATAGGCGGCAATGACTGGCACTGTTAGGTGGCACTGACGGGCACTGATAGGTGGCAATAACGGACACTGATAGGCGGCACTGACTGGCACTGATTGGCAGCACTGATAGGCGGCACTGACGGGCATTGATAGGTGGCACTGACTGGCACTGATAGGTGGCACTGAAAGGCATTTCAGATGGGCACTGATATGTGGCATTGATGTGCACTGATATGTGACATTGATGTGGCACTGATGGGAACTGGCAGGTGGCATTGATGGGCACTGACAGGTGGCACTGCTGGGGCTACACTGATCATCAGTGCCCTAATGATCAGTGTACATATCCCCTCTGAGGAATGTCGATTACCGGCTCTCCTCTCGAGCTGTCAGCGTGACAGCACGTGAGGAGAGAAATGTTGATAACCGGCATTTCCTTATTTACATGCGATCAGCTGTGATTGGACACAGCTGATCTCATGACAGAGCCAACATCTTTGGCTCTTTCCATTGATCGGTGATCCGCTGTGTCTCAGGGACACAGCAAACCACCGATCTCTGCGCTGCCCGCACCCGGGGGCGCGCACATGCGGTTAGAGTGGGAGGAAGTCATATGACGTCCTCCCAGAATGAGAGAACCGCCTTGCGCCCATCATTTCCTTATATGTTGAGCAGGAGGCAGTTAAAGACAGTGAGATGGATTTACTAAAATTAGAGAGTGGAAAATCTGGTGCTGCTCTGCATAAAAACCATTCAGCTTCCAGATTTTTTTAAGGTCTTTTTTTTTTGTCAAAGCTTAATTGGTCAAGTTGAAGTTAGAAGCTGATTGGCTACTGTGCATGACTACACCACATTTTGCACTCTCCAATTTAATAAATCAACCCCACTATTTCTTCTCCACAGGTGGATTATTTGCACTAACGTTTCCATACTAAGGAAATTAAATGGGTATTTTGCACAACAGAGTGCAAAATAATAAAAGAAATAAAGAAATACACAAATAAATATAGTATCAGTTTTGTGAGAGCCATAACAATAGAATTCAGTGCCAAGGCACTGGTGGCTGTGTCATTTAGCACAGCAAGGTTGGTCTTTGGTAGAAAGCATCCTGGTAGAGAGGTGAACAGGGGCGGACTAACCATTCGAACACTCAGGCACTGCCCGAGGGCCCGGAGTCAGTAGGGGGCCCCATGAAATGCCCCTGTTACCTTTTTTAGGTGTGCTTTGAGTGTGGGCAAGGACACAGGAGCCCCATGATCCCCTATTGCCCGGGGGCCCCATGAGTTGTCAGTCCAACCCTGGAGGTGAATATACAAGCGTGGTGATATATTTTCATAAAGTGAGTTAGTGTTTAAGTTACAGTTAAGATTTTTATTAGAGCTACAGGGTAGTTAGTGCAATAGGGGAGGTAGGGTAGAGCATCACTCTTTCCACTGTTAGCTCTGTGTTTAAAACTATTAGCACAAATCTTCCCGCAATGAAAACTAGCATATCAGGGCGGACTGGCAGTTCTGAGGAAGGACCTCACAGGTGTCAGACTATTGGAGCTAAGGTAAGAATTTTGCTCTTAGTTCCACTTTAGTTTAGATGGCAGTCCATGTACTTCTACAGCCCTGAAACCCAATATGCTCTCATATGCAAATATTGACATGGGAAGGAAACCCCAGGCCTAACCCATCCCTCACCTTCCTCACTATTGGCTACTGAGGGCACCCATCACATGTAAGGGCAATGATTTGAGAAGGAGGAAGTTGGAGGTGATGGTTAGCTCTGGAGTTTCTTTCATAATATTAGTTAATAAATATTTCCCCTTGTTTGGGCAGCTTGGAAAGATATTAAACGATACATACCTACACCTGTGGATGCTTGTATTTTATTTTTGTTTTCTTTTTTTTTACACTTCTAGCAATAAAAGGTTAATGTTAGTCTCTATTTGCAAAAGTTCTTATGCCAGAAGAAATGCAAACCAGTACACTGCTCAACAAGAGCTGTTTTGGTAGACAGCTAAATGGATTTAGGGTGTTTGTAAAACTTCCAAATGCAAAATGAATAAAACATATCCTCATATTGTGTGTACCTGTCTCACTTAACAGTGTCCTATGTGGATCTTGGCTTCTCTCATCTTCCTCTGCAATCTACATGTGTCACTTCTGGCAGTCTTCTCCAAAACCAGACAATCCATGGTGAAGTCTGCCAGTCAGGTATTGTTTGCACTTATCCAATAGATTTAACAAAAAGCTTTCGAGAGTATAGTTGTCTGATCAAGCACAGCAAATAAAGGAAATTGATTGTTAGGGTATATATACACTTTAAAATAAAACATTGTCCAGTGTATATAAAAAGTCTACACACCCCTGTTAAAATATCAGGTTTTTGTGATGTAAAAGAATGAGACAAAGAAAAATAATTTCAGAACTTTTTCCACCTTTAATGTGACCTATAAACTGTATAACATGTAACTGGGGATGTAGCTGTTTTTAGAATTAAGCAATCACATTCAAAATCATGTTAAATAGGAGTCAGTACACACCCACCATCATTTAGAGTGCCTCTAATTAACCACAAATAAAGTTCAGCTGTTCTAGAAGTCTTTCCTGACACTTTCTTAGTCTCATCCTATAGCATAAGCCATGGTCCGCAGAGAGCTTCGAAAGCATCAGAGGGATCTCATTGTTAAAAGGTATCATTCAGGAGAAGGGTACAATAGAATATCCAAGGTTTTAGATATAACATGGAACATAGTGAAGACAGTCATCATCAAGTGGAGAAAAAAATGATGCAACAGCAATATTGCCAAGAACTGGATGTCCCTCCAAAATCGATGAAAAAACAAAAAGAAAACTGAGCTGGGAGGCTGCCAAGAGGCCTACAAATAATTAAAGGAGCTGCAGGAATATCTGGCAAGTACTTGCTGTGTGGTACATGTGACAACAATCTCCCGTATTCTTCATATGTCTGGGCTATGGGGTAGAGTGAAAAGAAGGAAGCCTTTTCTTTTGAAGAAAAGCATCCAAGCCCGGCTAAACTTTACAAAAACACATCTGAAGTCTCCCAATAGCATGTGGGAAAATGTGTTATTGTCTCATGAAACCAAAGTTTAACTTTTTGGCCATAATTCCAAAAGATATGTTTGGAGCAAAAACAACACTGCACATAGCCAAAAAAACACCATACCCACAGTGAAGCATGGTGGTGGCAGCATCATGCTTTGGGGCTGTTTTTCTTCAGCTGGACCTGGGGCCTTAGTCAAGGTAGAGGGAATTATGAACAGTTCCAAATACCAGTCAATATTGGCACAAAATCTCCAGGCTTCTGCTAGAAAGCTGAACATGAAGAGGAACTTCATCTTTCAGCATGACAATGACCCAAAGCATACATCCAAATCAACAAAGGATAGGCTTCACCAGAAGAAGATTAATGTTTTGGAATGCCCCAGCCAGAGCCCAGACCTGAATCTGATCGAAAATCTGTGGGGTACACTGAAGGGGGCTGTGCACAGGAGATGCCCTCACAATCTGACAGATTTGGAGTGTTCTTGCAAGGAAGAGTGTGCAAATCTTGCCAAGTCAAGATGTGCCATGCTGATAGACTCATACCCAAAAAGACTGAGTGCTGTAAAAAATCAAAAGGTGCTTCAACAAAGTATTAGTTTAAGGGTGTGCACACTTATGCAACCATATTATTTACATGTTTTATTTTTATTTCCCTCCATGTAAAAGATTTCAGTTTGTTCAACTGAGTTGTACAGTTTATAGGATACATAAAAGGTGGAAAATTTCTGAAATGATTTATCTTTGCCTCTTTTTTTTACATCACAGAAACCTGACATTTTAACAGGGGTGTGTAGACTTTTTATATCCACTGTATATAAATATTTCAGATTTACCATCTTCAGCCAGAAAGTGGTGCAGTTGTTTCGATTTTCTACCATCTTTGCTGATGTTACAATTGTAGGCTGTAATTTGATCAGCTGTTCAGAACACAGCTATGTAATTGTTGGACAGATATTTTCTTAGTCATGTGGGTATATTGAAGATTCAATTATAGACATTTTGAAAGTGAATAACATGCAAGCAATAAAAAAGAAAGATCAGTTAAAAAACTTATAACATAGAGATGATCTTGGCCAAAAAAGAATTAAAGCTTTAGAATTTACACAGCTGGACTTAATCTGAAACTACATTCTGAGCACAGCATCTGCAAGGTGAGGAGAGCATTTTCTCTGGGCAATGGATGGTAAATGCAGATATATATAAACATTAATTTGAAATGTTGAACTCAGTGGACCTAGACCTGCTATTTTTTTTTTCAGTTGTAGACTGATTTTCATGGATGTTCATATTTGCATGGATGTTTTGCTCAATGTAAAATCTGAGCATTTGTAGGATGAGGAGGAGTGCAGACCTTGCATCATTGGAGGAGAGCAAGCTAAAGGTATTCTACCATAATGTGCTAACATACTGTGCACACTTGAACATTATGGCAAGAAGGGGGCCCAAACCAAGCAAAGTTACACTTTAAAATGTGATTCAATTTTTGCAGCCAAATTGAGAAAATATCTACAGTACCCTGCCTGTGCTATGCTAGCAGATCTTTATTTATTGGTTGTAAAGTAGATGTGCACACTGGTTGTCTTATAAAAGGGACAAGATTACAAGGCTTGGGTGAATCATTGTATGCTAATGCAATAAAAAAAAAAAGGTCTCACTATCTGTCACCTAATTGCACATTGCCAGCTATTCTGAACAATATATACTACCTATAGAGTCATATGTATAAATCTGCTTCAAATAAACAATTAGAAAGGTACAAAATATTTAAAAAAAATATTTTAGGTATGCTGTGAGAACGCACAACAAACATACTGTACAATGGGGGTTTCTCAAATTTGACTGCAAAGGCGGACACACACTTTTAGCCTTAAAATCGTGCTAAAGTCTAAAGGCGTTTTACCTTAGCACATTCTCTGCATTAACCACTTCAGCTCCAGAAGGTTTTTCCCCCTTCATGACCAGGTCATTTTTGGCTATTTAGCACTGCGCTACTTTAATTACTTGCCTACTGGGTACTTTCGCCCCCTTCATGCCCAGGCCAATTTTCAGCTTTCAGCGCTGTCGCACATTAAATGACTTTGAATTGCGCAGTCATGCAACATAGTACCCATATGAAATTGTTATAATTTTTTCACACAATTAGAGCTTTCTTTTGATGGTATTTAATCGCCACTGGGTATTTTATTTTTTGCACTATAAACAAAAAAAGCAAAAAAAAAAAAAAAAATGATGAGATGGCACAGATAGGCAGCACTGATGAGGTGGCACTAATGAGTCAACACTGGTGGGCATTGATGAGGAGGCACTGATGATGTTGCACTGATATGCAGCAATGATGGTCACTGATAGGTGGCACTGATGGGCACTGATGGGCGACAGTGACGGGCGGCGCTGTCTGACGGCACTGACTGACAGCACCGACTGGCTGCACTGATGGGCACTGATGGGTGGCATTGCTGGGCACAGA